GGGGGGGGGGGGGGGGTGGAATTCGACGTTGGATTTGGTTTATTCAAATGACGGGTTTTGACTTTGTTTTCAGGTGAATTGGTATCCGTGGGGAGACGAAGCATTTGAGGAAGCCCGGAAGAGAAACGTGCCGATCTTCTTATCTAGTAAATATCAATCTCGCTTACAGGTCAAAGTTGTTTTAGTTGATCCATGATGAGATTGATTCATTGTTCTTTTTTTCGTTTGAAGTTGGATACAGCACCTGCCATTGGTGAGGTCTTTTATTGATTTTGCAAGTGTTTGTATATGGTTTCTTCTTCATGGTGCAACGTGTGATCTATCGGGACTTGTGACTTATTCGATTAGGTGCCATGTCATGGAAGTTGAATCTTTTGAGAATGAAGAGGTAGCCAAACTGTTAAATGATTGGTTTATCAGTATCAAGGTCAGTTCCAATTAGTACCAGTTGGATGCTTCTTTCATAGTTTGAGTATCTGAAAAATGGGCTAATTACCTGTTTGCAAAATAGATTCAATCTTTAAAATCCCTCTCTGGTTCTGTTTTCTTATATATTGATATGTCGGTGGAGCAGGTTGATCGTGAGGAGCGGCCAGATGTTGATAAGGTATAAATTGAGGATAAATTTAAAATGTATGTGCTATCTTAGAGGGTAGCCAGGCGTTTGAGATATCTATTTTCTGCCGATCCGAGTTTAGTTCTGTATCTCTTTGTTGGACTGTGAATGATGCTGCACTACTGAAACTTATTTTATTACTTTGTACAGCACGGCTCGTGAAAATTTACTTTTACCGGATGCATAGATCTTGTAATTATGAACTTTATATCACGATATAATATATATTAACTTACTTTAAAGAAAATAATAGTTTTACGATATGCTAAACTAAATAGATCTGTCCCATCTCAGGTGTATATGACATATGTTCAGGCTCTTTACAGTGGTGGGGGTTGGCCGCTCAGTGTCTTCCTTTCTCCCGATTTGAAACCTTTGATGGGCGGGACTTACTTTCCTCCCGATGATAAATACGGAAGACCTGGATTTAAGACTGTGCTTAGGTAAAGAAGTCGTTAGACATGCTAAGCTCCTCTCTCCCCCACAAACCTCCCTTCTCTCCCTGTTATGGTCTCTGGTTTCTTGATCATATTAGCTCAGAAATGTTTGGATTCTACTAAAAGGTTTGCTAGTCAGTTGCATTATAGTTTTGTATGTAAAACCTTTCGATTTTCGATTTTCGATTTTTTCCCCCAAAGAGACCGTAGTATATTTTATGTTTTCAGGAAAGTGAAGGATGCATGGGATAATAAAAGGGACGTTCTTGTCAAGAGTGGAACTTATGCTATTGAGCAGCTTTCTGAGGCCTTGTCTGCGTCCGCAAGTTCGAATAAATTGCCAGAGGAACTTCCACAAAATGCTCTACGATTGTGTGCCGAGCAAGTAAAGCTCTTATTGCCTTGAAATTTGGTCTTTGTTCAATTATGTCTATGAGCATTAATTTGAATATATATATATATATGTGTGTGTATTTCGTTTCTGAACTTATTTGATGTTTATTTTAGCTTTCTCAAAGCTACGATCCAAATTTCGGTGGATTTGGTTCAGCTCCTAAATTTCCGAGACCAGTTGAGGTTCAACTTATGCTTTACTATACCAAAAAATTGGAAGAATCTGGGAAGTCGGGTGAAGCAGAAGAAAGCCTGAATATGGTAATTTTTAGTCTGCAATGTATGTCAAGAGGTGGTATTCATGACCATGTTGGAGGTGGATTTCACAGATATAGTGTCGATGAGCGCTGGCATGGTCAGTATCTGGTTCATGTGTTAATTAGCACTATGTCTTAACTTCATCATATAGGAAAATCTTGCATGTTTGTTGATTACTATACGCGAAATTTCATTTTAAATTGTTACAAAGACAGTTCTTATCATCAGAACATGAAGTGTGATTAAAGCATGTAAGGAAAATGTCGTTGCATTGTGTGGGGAAGAGGCGTAAATAAAGTTCTAATCGATCTCTACTTGTCCTACTTTGCTATGGTACATGATAAATTCTATTTTCTCTGAACAGTTCCGCACTTTGAGAAGATGCTTTACGATCAAGGACAGATCGCAAATGTTTATCTAGATGCTTTTTCCATAACCAAGGATGTCTCTTATTCATATGTATCTCGGGATGTTCTTGATTATCTGAGGAGAGACATGATTGGACCCGACGGCGAAATATATTCTGCGGAGGATGCTGATAGTGCTGAATCCGAAGGAGCTACAAGAAAAAAAGAAGGGGCCTTCTACGTGTGGACAAGTAAAGAGGTTTGCATCATCCTTTTTTGGGCTTTACTACACCTCATTATATTTTGTATGTTAATTGTTCGTGAGGTGGAGAATGATACCTTTCATTCAGTGTTTTATAAGGATACCGTTTTATTGAACTTTTCAATTCCCATAGGACCCGTACCACCATTATGAACCCGCTTTCTTCTAAAATTGTTCTTTTAGGTCGATGAAACACTCGGTGAGCATGCCGATTTCTTCAAGGAGCACTACTACATAAAGCCTTCAGGAAATTGTGATCTTTCCAGATTGAGTGATCCTCATGGTGAGTTTAAAGGAAAGAATGTTCTTATTGAGATGAAAAGTGTATCTGAGATAGCATCAAAACATGGGCTGCCTGTTGAAAAATATCTTGAGATTTTGGGGGAATGTAGGCAAAAGCTTTTTAGAGTAAGAGAGCATCGACCCAAGCCACATCTTGATGATAAGGTATACATTAACTCGATCAACTCGATTGTAACTGCTGAACCTCTATGCGTTCTTGTATGTTGTCCTTGTCATAAAAAAAATTCTAATGCCTTGGTGTTTCTTAGGTAATTGTTTCATGGAATGGGCTTACAATCTCATCATTTGCAAGAGCCTCTAAAATTCTGAGGAACGAAAAGGAGGGCACAAGATTCAACTTCCCAGTTGTTGGCTCCGATGTAAGATCGCTTTTATCTTCTTGTATAACTCCTTGTGAAGTGCAAGTAACTTCTCTAGGTAATACAGTTTCTAAGATCTATTTTAACAATGGTCGAGAAATTTGTGGGTTTCTGACATCGACAAACGTATTAGCAGCGTTTTATTTGTTCATTTTTCCTAAAAATGTTTAGATTGAATCATTGTTTGTATTCTATAAGTGATGATGCATTCTTTTAAAATATCAAGGGGTGTGTACTTCACTCAAGTTGGGCCAAGCATAACTCTGATAATTTGAGAAGGCTATTGTGCTTTTACGATGGTGTGTTCGAACCATTTCCCTCGACAGGACCGGGAACGGCCTTCGTGCTTGCCTATTAACACATATGTCTAATTTTTGTGTTCATGAAACTCCTTGGAGTGTCAAGGATTGGGATAGTCTTGCATTTTGGAATTTATGCCTTGAACTTTTCATTAAATCAATAAAGCCAACCAGAAAAAGAGAGACAAAAGAAAGAGTGATTGATTCATTGGAGCTCATTTATTGGTTACTCTCATTTTCTGCAGGCCAAAGAGTACTTCAAAGTTGCAGAAAAAGCTGCTCTTTTCATCAGGACAAAGCTTTACAATGAACAAACACGTCGGTTACAGCATAGTTTCAGGAACGGGCCATCCAAAGCACCTGGGTTTCTTGACGACTACGCGTTTCTAATTGGAGGCTTGCTCGATCTCTATGAATATGGCGGTGGACTGAATTGGTTAATTTGGGCAATAGAACTTCAAGCCACCCTGGCAAGAAGCACTGCTCTTATTGCTTTGCTAAGTTAATTAACTTTAGAGTTCTAACCTTATGTTAGAATCAATTTTGGATCTTTTTGTAGGATGAGCTGTTTCTTGATAGAGAGGGGGGAGGGTACTATAACACTGCCGGCGAAGACCCATCTATTCTTCTACGGGTGAAGGAAGATCACGACGGGGCTGAGCCATCTGGGAACTCGGTTTCGGCTATCAATCTTGTCAGGTTATCCTCACTGGTTTCTGGAAGTAAGTCCGATTATTACAGACAGAACGCCGAGCATCTTCTGGTCAGTCGACTATTTCCCATGAACATTCCTCCTATTCATCCAACCAGGTGTCTGAGATTTTGGATACTAATTAGCGGCTTTTTTATTCGCAAATGCAGGCTGTTTTCGAGAAGCGATTAAAGGATACAGCAGTGGCTGTACCATTGATGTGTTGTGCAGCTGACATGTTTTCAGTTCCATCCAGAAAACACGTCGTCTTGGTCGGGCATAAAAATTGGGAGCAGTTCGAAACCATGCTTGCTGCAGCCCATGCCTCGTACGATCCCAATAGAACAGTGAGTACAGAATCTGCAATTGCCTCCTAGTTTCAATCCTCTTAACCGTTCGTAATCGAGTTTTAATGGCAGGTTATTCATATCGATACGACAGACAAGATGGAAATGCAATTTTGGGAAGAGAACAACAGGAATGTTGGTGCCATGGCGAAGAACAACTTCGCTGCAGATAAGGTAGTGGGTTTGGTGTGCCAAAACTTTACATGTAAGGCCCCTGTAAGTGACCCTGAATCTCTGGAGGCGATGCTTGCACAGAAGCCTTCTTGATCATGTTACTTTATGGGAAGCTAATGAATGAATATGTTTGTAATCTATAATTAGGTTGGAGGAAATCACCATGGCGGGTTCCAAACTTTAAATGTTAAATTCAGATAATAGAAAAAATTCCTAGATTTTATTATGATATTTATGGTGCACCTCGAAATTCTAAAACGAACGTAATATTTTTTTGGAAGACTATTCCTCAGGTTCTTCGCTCTGCATCGAATTAAACTACATGCTCTACCGCTTGTGTGGGCCCTTGTCAATTCCTTTGAGTTTCATTCTTGCAAACGTACTCCTCAAGCGGGATACTTAGCGCGTTAGCTATAGCACTGCATGGGTCGATATGTACAGTGTCTAGTATCCATCATTTACGACTAGGACTATTGCGATATTTAATTCCATTCGCTCTCCTAGCTTTCGTCTCTTAGTGTCAGTGTCGGTTCAGCAGAGTGCTTTCGCCATTGGTGTTCTTTTCGATCTCTATGCATTTCACCGCTCCACTGGAAATTCTCTCTGCTCCTACCGTACTCCAGCTTGGTAGTTTCCACAGCTTGGTAGTTTCCACAGCTTGGTAGTTTCCACCGCCTGTCTAGGGTTGAGCTCTGAGATTCCACCGCAATCATTCTAGATGACGCATCGGTTTCAGTAACATTTTGAAACCTTGTTTATCAAGTATACATATGGCTTTGAAACCTTGTTTATCTAAGTATACACATGACTTTGCCTAAACATCGTACAATAGAAAAGAAATTATACCTCACGACAGCCGTAAAGAAAATTAATAGGGTAATACAAGAGTTCGGAATACGCATTGCAGTGAATTTCACGGTTTATTCCACATTCACATTGAATTTCGCGCTCTACCTGATAGAAGTCTCGCCCACTCTGTTTCCCGCAATTCGCAGCGAAGGATAACGACTCTGCCCATCCACCGCTGAATTTGAAGCTGAGTTCGAGTTATTGGGTGGTTTTCTTGATTACAGGAATCAATGGTGGAGAGGAGGAGACCTCTGGTTCTGAATTCAACGAAGGCCCTCGTCAGCTCCGTGCTTAACTCCTCGCTGCTCGCTGAAAAACCCCCAGTCGCCGGAAAAGACAAGCTCTCCCTCGATTCTGAGTCCCCCGAGTTACAGTTGCAAACCGGAATTCTCCGATTCGATGAGCGTGGAGATGAAAATTCATCTCGGAAGTCTTTTTCCTTCGACGACTCTGCCGTGGTTGGGGTCTCGATGTCCGTTCTGAAAAGGCTCTCCATAACTTCGGGCTCTTTGGTACGTCAACTGACTTAGCTCTTTAATTGAAGCATGTTTCGATTGTTTATGGGGCTGTGTTACGGGGTTTAATCAAATGAGCATATTCTACTTTTGATGTTCATTCATTCATATATTTCCGTTGTCTTCTGGCTAGTTATGGACTCGTGTATTGAAATTGTACTTGTTTAGACTTTCATTTATTTTCAAACTTCTGCCATCATTTTGCTGTCTCTAGGCATAAAGATTTTCGAAGGAAATTCTCTTTTGTAGATGGTGGATTTTTTGTTTTGTTTTTGTTTAATACTTCGGAATCCAGCAGCGTTAACTTATTTTGTTGGTTTCAAGGTTCTTGTGAAGAATCTGGAATCAAATACGCAGAGAGTTGCTCAGGTAATTGTTCTAGATCCCCCCAGCACCAGAGAATGCGCTTCAGACGTCAAACAATGTTCTTCTCGTCATGCTATGCTTGTTTTTCCTTCTTTTAATTTCCCTCAAAAGGATCAACAACCTGTGGATTCTGGCACTGCCTATCTATCTCCCCTTCTGGCGTTCAATCTTGACTTCCATTTATCATGCTTAGGAAGCCTAGTGAACAAAGGACAAGAAACTTTAGCATCATATCTTCAAGCTAAAGTGGACGATTTGACACCCGGAGAAGGCATTGTTGGTTCTATTATAAAAGTAGGATTGAAACCTCTGGTTAAGTTGCCTAGATATGCCTCGCACTTGAGGGTTTCTTTTGTGAAAGTGCCAACATGTGGTATCCTTGAATCTCTAAATGGGAGATCATCTGTTGAAGCTGAAAGTCGTCAGGAAGTAATCGATTCTGCTCTACAAAAATACTTTGAAGTAGAAAGGTATCTAGCTAGAGGTGATATTTTCAGTGTTCAAGTAAATCAAAACTGCAAATCCACATTTTGCATTTCATGCAACAAAAGCACGGGGGATAGAAGTGACATTATCATCTATTTTAAGGTGGACATCTTTATATCATCTACAAGGCTTTGATATTCAAGGAATGTTATCATATGCAACCTTCTTACCACGTGGAAGTCGTATTTTCAGGTTGTGGCAATGGAGCCATCAGAAGAACCAGTTCTTCGTATAAGTCGCACTCAAACTGCTCTTGTGCTTGGAGGCAGTGTTTGTTCTGCCCTCCCTCCTGATCTATTGGTTGGTTTACCTAGAAGGCTTTCACCTGTACAGACAAACACAGTGAAGCTTTTGGCATCCATACTTACACCACCTCTTTGTCCGTCGCCTCTTTCATCAAGATACAGAATTAGTGTTCTATTATATGGCATGGCAGGTCTATTATCGATTATTAGAATGCTTAAACCTTTTTATCACCTTTTTTTTGTTCTTTTCAAGGGTCAAGTAAATTTAAGCACTTGTGACTTATGTGTTATGACAAATCATAATTGAACAGATTGAACTAAATATGAAGTATAAACCTTCGGTTATTTGATTTGATGTATTTCATGTCTGCTGCTTGAATCAATTCTTTCACTGTTTCAGGGTGTGGAAAGAGGACTGTGATTAGGTATATTGCTCACAGATTGGGTCTTCATGTAGTAGAGTTCAGCTGCCATGATTTCACGGCTTCGAGTGAAAAAAGAGCATCTGCTGCTTTAGCCCAAGCTTTTAAGATGGCTCAAAGGTGAAGCACTGAATATGTTACTGCACTAGCATATTGAAAATTACTAGTTTAGAAGTATAATCTTAAATGTGGTGTAGCGAATTTACAATCTAAGTCAGGTGATGTATATGAATATGATTTAGTTGTTGCTGTTTAATGGTTCTTTAGACAGTGTCGTAATATATTGTGTTACGTTTTTTTCAGTGTACAAACACTTCATTTATTTTGTATTTAGCGTTTTAGATTATAATACACAACCACTCACTAATTTTTTTTTTGAAGAAAAACAGATTTAGTATTGTTATTATTATTATTTTGAATAAGAAACAATAGTTATTGGTGAGATAAAATTATGAGGGGAAATGTCCTGCAAAACCAAGGTGCCAAAAGACTTTCCAATCATAGAATTAAGGTAGAATTAGATTAGGTGATCCTAAGAGGAAGCTGCAAGTCAACAATTTTCTGGTGATCTTCCCGAGCCATTTCTTCTCCTTGGAAGAATCTATGATATTCCATATTGCCAAGCTCAATATGTCGACGTAGTGATTATCTGTATTTTGTACAGTTACATTCTATAAAATACCCTGCATCTTCTTATTTCTCATGTGATTGTATTTTATCAGATACTCACCAACAATACTTCTTCTCCGCCACTTTGACGTTTTTCGGAATTTGGGTTCTAATGAAGGTTCACCCAATGATCAGCTAGGCATCCCCACTGAAGTTGCTTCAGTCATTAAGGAATTCACTGAGCCAGTTTCTGACGAGGAAGATGCTCGTAATCAAGGAGAAAGAAACAATGACTTTGTAAGCAACTCTTCGTTTGTATTATAGTTTCAAGATCTTGTTTTAGAAACATGCCGAATTCAAAGAACTGTCTCTTTTTCATCGATATTTTAATATGCAGAACTACATTTTTAATTTCAATTCCCCTTCCCTTTCATGGAAGCTCACTATGATGCTTTTACGATACTATTTCAGGAGAAAAGTAAGGCATTCAGGCATCCAGTACTTTTAGTTGCTGCTGCCGAGAGTTGTGAAGGTTTACCAACTCCTATTAGGCGTTGCTTCAGTCATGAATTAAAAATGGGTCCTTTGACTGAAGAGCAGAGGATTGAAATTCTATCCCAGTGCCTGCAAGGCGCTCCTGAACTTCTTCCTAGTGTATGAAAATAACCTTTTTCCATTATTATATTAATATTTCTCGAATTAATTGTGTATTAGTGTAGAAAAATGATCAGTTTCTGCCTTCATACTCTAACAAATTGGGAAGCATTAATGTGAAGTAATTTTCGTTGTATTGGCTATCCAACTAAGAATACAGTGAAATATGTTCTCGCATAGCAAAACCTGTTGGGGGTAGAGGGTTAAAAATGAGTGTGAAATTATATGCACAAAAATCATGCAAGATTTATGGTCCTCATGGCTAGTTCTACTTGATTTTCATCCTTTCAATTAGTTTGTTTAATAGACATTATAGCAAGTACTACTGTATTAGAACATGAGACTATTATCATTGACAGTGCGATTGTTTCAACTTTTACAAACCTAACTAATTATTGAGTCCTAGTCCATTAAATATTGTATAATCTTCCAATAATTACTGAACTTAGTTAATAAGATATTGAGGCTTAAATGAAATATGATACCAATTTTCTTATTTCATTAATGAAATTTGCAATTACTTGTTGAATAAATACTTTTACATCCAGTAGTACATATATATTCAAATTCAAGCAATGTGTTGGTAACTTGGCATGGCCTGTTGTCGTTTGACATGAATGGTTGATAATGTGTTTCAATGATTATTGAACCCCATTCATTAATTGGTGAAAATACATTATTAACTCGTTAATTATGGAAAACAATTATCTGATATTTGGTATTTTGGTAAACTATGAAATTGACTGATTCTTATAAAACCTTCCATCTTCTTTTATTTTTAATCCATTTTTCAAAATTTCCCTTTCCGAATATTATATTTGATTCATGATCCTTTCATATCGACCACTTATTTTAATTTGCCAGGTAATGGTTCTTGCAGACTAACGCGGAGGATTTCATAAAGGATGTTGCTGCCCAGACAGCTGGCTTTATGCCGAGGGATCTTCATGCTTTGATAGCTGATGCTGGTGCAAACTTGTTAAGCAAGGTCAAATCTCAGACTAATAAAGTTGAGGACGAGACATTAGAGAGTCGACTT